TAAAAAATATTTAATTTTTGTCTTGAAAAATTACACTGTATGTTCTTGAAACATGTATAAATATATTTTAAAAATTTTGAAATAATTGATAAAGTATTTTTTTAATAGTACTTCCCAAAATCACCTCTTTTTTAGGCCATTACACTAGATGTGCCCATTAAAATAATCTCTCAATAATTTTAACGATTTCGCTTTCGCTTGATCATCTGTTGTCTTAAGCTGCTAAACTACTCGCTCACTAAACGAAGAGTATTTTAAAGTAGCTAAGGCCATCGATGGCTGAAGTTTTATCCCAAAAAGATGGGGTACTGTGCCGTTCGTCATTGGCTATATGTGGTACTTTAAATGCTTCGATATATAGAAGACTTTTTTTCGAATGCTTCCACTAGCGTGTACTGCATCGCTAAACTTTCAAAGCTGGAGTGATTCCATCCATTCGGAGGCCATAGCCTTGCCATAACCTTAAATATTGCCATCGTCGAGAACGATAAGCGTCTTTAAAATTTAGTGATTCTGCGTTGGATTTCAAGGTTAACATTATTATTGGGGTTGATACAGGTTTCTAGATAGACGAAATCATGACTGTCAACAGTGACGTAGAAGGCGAACCGTGAATGCTATGACTGTTCATTTGAAGGTTGTAACTTCTCTATTCGACTCTAAAGCTTCTAAAATTTTTTTCAGCAATAAAGTAAAGAAGTCACACGGTGTGTACCCACCTGAAACATCATTTGATACCGAATGGCTCGGAGAAGTCTTTTCTAATTCTGACTGCTCTTCTGGTGTTGTCCAGCGTCAGTTTACACAGCCGTATAAGTTTTGCAGAAGTACCAAATTCAGGCATAGCGGCGTAGATGCAGCTCCTTACTGTGCTGTCGAAGGATGCTTTAAAACTGTTGAAAATGTGTTGAGTGTCAATTCTTTTCACACAAATGTTTTTTCAAGATTTGACGTATGGAGAAAATTCGTCCATGGGGTATTTTTTTATGGGTTAGACAGAGCCCACGTAAATTCCAATCGTCGAACAAGCTTTTGTCCGACCATATTCTGTAAACAAGCTGAAGAATCGACCTTGTCCGCTATTTGCTATTCGAATCCGGTAATGGAGCGTCGTTTCCTTTGTCATCGATTGGGGGTTTGGGTTCACCACCTCTAGGTGTTTGATTTTCACTGCCAATAAGCAGGCTGGAGTAATGTTCTCTTCATAAATTTAGTAGACTCAGGTTATTTGTCGCTAGGACACCTCTCTGGTCTTACAGGAGTTTGCTCCGATCTTGAAGCCTTCGGTAAGTCGCCTTATCTCTTCTAGAATTTTTGAGCATTACTCTTTTCGGCCAGCTTCTCAAGCGCTAAATACTCATAGCAATCTTCTTTGTTGTAAAATGAAATTCAATATTTTGGCCTTGCAAGGGTTTCTAATTATGGACATAGTCTACGCTGTGTCATGTTTTTTGTATATATATATTTTATTTATGTATGCGCATGTAAATATGCCAAAGTTAATGACATTTTTTACGCAAGAACCGATTAAACCGGAAAAATGTTTCTAGCAATTTGGCACATGCTTGTATATATGTGTATGTATGTATATGTTAACGTATGCAGGAATATTTGCATGCCTATGAGTTTGTAGCTTTTGTAATTTTTTTGCAATGACTTCATTACCATTCACGACGTACATGCATACATACATACATACATACATAAGTAATTGTATTTTTCTTTATTTAAATATTGCGTGCAAACATTTACAATAATTAGAATTCATATTGTGACGACCGTGAAAAACAGTGTAAATAATTAATTAAATGACATGATGAATTTGTTTCAAAAAATGCCCGCTTCAAGGAGCAAGGCCTTGCTTTTCCAAACAAAAAAAAAAAAATAAACAAAAAAAAAAGTTAGCAAATAAGTAAGTAAAGAAGATAACGGTGAATAAGAAATGAATGAAACACGTAAAGAAGCCTACTTATGTGCTCGAGTGCACGTAAGTAGACAGCAACAAGTGCACCTACACACAAGCACACAAGCACTCACACCCTCTAGCAACATGATAAATACATAGTTACGAATACAACCGGTAGTCACAATGCCAGCAAGCCGGAGTGCGGGAAGCAACGCAGCGCACCCAGCAAGCCACCAGCAACATTAACCAGCAATTCAGGTTGAGCGTGCTGTGAGACATGTTGAGAGATGCATACATACATACTCGTACATATATCGTAAGAGATGTTCATATATTGTATACTCATCATGTTGTTATTTATATACATATGTATGTGATTGTATATTTTTCTTTTGGCATATACAAACACGCAGCAGGAAATATGCTTCCTTCAAATACCAACAATTCCAGTGGCTGAACAATAAAAGGTCGTAGAAAGGTGGTAAGACAAAATGTGTCAAGCGGCCCATCAATGTCACCCTGTCAGTGGTGTCAACATCAGCTTTGGCATTGTTGGTTCTTTTGCACAGTGTTACGTTTTCGACTTTTTTAACAGTAAAAATACGGAAAAATATAAACTTAAGAAATAACAATATAAAATTGTTCAAAAAATCGGAATGAAACTTTATTTTGAAATCTGTTAATTTGATTAGTTATTATTATCAGATTTATTTGAATTTTTAATTTTATATATAACACAACACTTTTTAATTTTCTTAAAATAATAATACTTTCTGCTATTAGATTATTTAAAGGCTCAAGTACTTCAAACCATGATTCAACAGAAAGTTGGGGTATGAAAATTAATACGAAGAAATTCTGGATTGGTAAAGAAATTCTCTTGACCCAAATATCTGATTCAAAATCCCACTAAACAATTTTTTCAAAACTAATTGTCTGGATTTGTTACACTTAGACTAATAACAAAGGAAAGCTAGTGGTTTTGTATTAGAAAATCATATCGTAAAACATCTCAACATCTCTTGTTTTATAAAACATCTAAATTATACCAAGGTCTAGAAGTTTAATGCATTTTAATTTAATATGATTGAATTTATGTAATTTATTTATATAGATTTATAAAATTAATAACAAATATTTTCTTAGTCAAGCCATCAAAGCATTTCATCGAATTAGAAACCTTTCTAGAATGATGAACACTATGAAATGGAACATCCGACTTTATTTCACTAGTGCAATGCGGTATAGAATTTCGGGCAATGTTAATCTCAATGCCTGCAGTTATAATTGAATACTTTAATGTTAGGCCGTCGCGATCTCATCATTATTTTGTGACCCATCAACTATAAAATGCTGTGATTCTGCTGCAAAACATCGAACAAAAAGGGCACACCGGCATGATGAATAATCTACTACTGAGCATCAATTTGAGTGCGGAGACGCGCTCGTGCATATACGACGAAGTGATCCCCATTGACCGATTAAGTCCATTGTATTGCCAGATAACTCGCCGACGGTCTTTGGTGCGCTCATAGCACAAGAGCTCAATACTCAGATGTACCCTTCACCGTGTGTGCAAAGCAAAGGATTTTTTCCCATCATAATTGTTAGCCTCGAAAACTTTTTTAAACATATATGTATAATTTTGCATAAATAAAATAAAAGTCAAACCAAAATCATGTATTTTGAACTAGCTTTTCTACATCCAATTTAACGACGAGAACGTTTTATGTTGGGTTTTAGTTGGCTGCATATACACTCTATAATATATTTAGTTCATTTAAAGCAAGACACGAACGTCAAAGTGGGCGTGCTGATAGCTAAGTCTACTGTATGTTCCTAAAAGTAATATAAATAATTGCTAATGATTTTTTTCCAGAAAATCTGTCCAACTCTTTGCCTATTTGATATATAATCACGGTGCTGAGCCCTGGACTCTAAGCTACAAGGTGCGAAAATTAAGTAATGAGACTGATTCCATAAAAGCCGTGTATTCCAAAATCATTCGCTATCCCCTTCAAAGTAGTCCCTTTGGTCAGCTATACAACGATACCAGCGCATTTTCTATGCTTCGTAACATTTCTAGAACGCTTCGACTGGGATGGCCGCCCCATCACCAAATAAAAAAAGATTTTGTTCTAGAAAACAAAAAAAAATCAGAAGACATATCGGGCGAGTAAGGCCAAATACTAGGACAAGGTGAGAGCGAAGTGGCACAGCGCGTTGTTGTGATGAAGGATCAAGTTACGAGCGACGTCTGGGCGCACGCTGTTGACTCATTTTCGCAATCTTTCGAGTACTTGGCAATACTAGAACTGTTTAACGTCGATCTTAACAGATTTTATATGAATTCTAGTAAATCTAATATAACAAGTTCCAAATTATTTAATTGTTATTTGAAAATATACACAATATTTTTATCGATTATTCGTTTATATACGAAACGAAAGTCAAGCAGACGCAACAAATCACACTTTTTGTTAACACATTTCACCAACTTTCAACAATTCAAAAATAAAATCACTGTCACTGTTATCATCATCATCGTCATCGTCATCACCGTCATTAGCGCATTAGATAGTCAGTGCGCCAGTCGAAGGCAGGCAGACACTCGTCTTCTGTTCGTTTCGTTGAGCAATGATACAAAAGACACAAACACGAATGTTACTCATACGCAGAGCGGAACCTCGCCATGGCAAAAACCAAATACCAAAACAAATGTGATTGTGTAAATCCTTTGAGACTACGGCGCACTAAAGTATATCTCATCGTTACGCATTCTTTCATTTCCTTATGTTGACATTGGCTATGTATGTATGCACTTGACAACATATACAATACGAGAAGTCAACATTACAACAAATACTGAGGACATAAGCAATTCAAATCATGACAATGTTCACATTTAATATAATTAATGTTTAAATAATGTAACTTTAGGTTAAATCAACGCAAAAGAAAATCTCTTGGGTGTTTGCAACTACAAGTAGTAATCTCAATTACTACATATAAACATATATTTTACCTAGAAAATAATTTAATTTAACTTTAACGTGTTCATTCCCGTTCCGCTACTATTCACTTTAAAACTCACCTGTTGCTTTGTTATGTAAATAGGTTTATTCAATACAACCCATGTGACAGTCTCGTGGCAGGCGGGTGCTGTCGTCGAGCCATCATAGGTCATATATTGATCCGTTTCGGGTAACAGGCCGCGTATAGACAGTCGTTTGACGAAAGCTTCATCGCCACCAAAACGTATACGATCCAATTGATCCGTCAGCATACGCAATTCAGGATTTGATAGATCGCCAAGCTGAAATAAAAGTTCGTGGATCGTTAGAAATTACAGAAAATTTTAAAGCTGAGAGCACTAAAGCTTTGTTATACTAAGCAAACAGCCTAAAATACAAATAATTTAACTTCGTTGCCCGGGTACTACGGCTTAGGATTCATATTTATAGCGATTTTTTGCCTCCGTTCACATCAGTCTATTATAATCTTTAAAGTTAAACTAAAGCTTACACTTTTATTAGAATAAGCTATAAATGAAAATCTCATTTAAATTCAAAAGCTAAACTCAAATTCGTTAGCATTGTGGTGGTGTAGTATATTATTATTAGCAGAATATTTTGTATTACTTAAGCATTGATAAAGATATAAACACCATCGAAAACTTTTGGTATAATAAAAGTCTGCAGCAACTTTTACTCAGTCAACAAAACTTACCTGCAGCAATATTGATACACCAACAATTCCTTGTGCTCTATTCAAGGCGTCCGAAAAGTTTTCATATAGTTGTGAGTTGTAGCCGAATATTTGGATCTGCAACAAATAGAACAAACAGCACAAAACGTAAAAAGTGCAGCAGTAAGAGTTGAGTGCAAAGTGTATAAAGAGTAAAAAGGATATGGGAGTATAGGCGCTTAACACACACTAGCGCAAATGTATTCTCAATGTGGATTTCTAGTTTAGTTTTGAAATATACATATAAGAGAGAAAGTCGAAATGTTTACGTTATATGTTTTTCGCCTGCACTGTAAAGTTTACTTATATAAATAGGCAGTCCTAAGGTACCTGTAAATCAAATTTTTATCCATGCACGGAAGCAACATTGCCATGTGCCAATAACCAAAAATCACCGAAAATGTTACTAAAGGCTCACTTTCCACCAGCTACGCCCGAGCTATGTGTGGTATCAGTGAAAACGTGAGTGCCATAGGGGATCCAGATAAGGTTTAATAAGCAGACGTTCTTGGGCTAAAAATTACCAGGCTGTAAAGTTCTTAAGCAAAGCTTTTCGAATCTTGCACTAAGGAAAGCTACGCCCTTGTCTCACGATGAATGGCAAGTGCAGTTTTTCTATCCAAAGTGGGTAAATTAAGGCACCTATACCCTAAGAATTAACGCCAAATCATTTTAATTTCGATACTTCTAAAAACATTGGAGCGTCTGATGGGTGTTCATATTAAGCAAACTGTGGATGAGGTCCTACTCTTAGAGCATAGCATGTCTATACAAAAGATAAACACAGCATTAAATAATGTCACGTGTAAGATGGAATCGCCTCTCGAAAATCTGTAATATGCTTTGGGTATATTCCGCGCCATATCTGAAGCGTTCAAGAAGGATTTTAAACATTTTGTAATGGATGGGTAAGACTCAACCCTATAGTTAGAGGTTGGATACATAACTTGCTAAGTTGAAGAAAGATTCAATCGCAAAGGGGATTAGATGTAGTGTCGCGGATGTGTATGGAGGAACACCACAGGGTGGAGTGCTCCGTCCTCCGGACTGAACTCTTGCGGTTAATGATTTGCTGAAAAATATGGGAGATGAAGCTGTCACGTTTACATACTATGCGGGCGACATGTCGGTTATAGTGCGCGGTAAGTGGTTGGGGCCAACTTTTTTGGCTGACATTCACATGTGAGTTGCCAGAAACGATTCCACTGGGTAAGCAACATATCTGCTTGGAGGCGAGCTATAGTGAGAAGGCGTATCCTATGCGGTTGTGCGTAGGGTTTGGGACCCACCACATGAAAAAAGTTATATTCAAAAATATAATTACGCCTCGGATGAGGTACCCCCTTTACTAAAGCTGCCAAATAAAGCAGAGACTCCGTCCCCGAATACTGGATGCTGCCCCGCCACGGCGTCAAAATTGTGCATGGCGACTTTAACGCCACAGTGGGCGTAGAAGGTATTTTTTGACAACAGCTAGAAAATTCAGCATATCCGGGAAACATCCCCAAATAGGCTCAGGCTAATCGCCAAGCTACTTGGCTGTCTCCACATCAATAGCTGCAATCACAGCAGACTGCCGAGCGATTTTCTATTCCACTCGCACTCCTGCTCTCTGATAGCACTCATCAGCAACCCGGTATAAGGCAACTTTAGGAACTTTGCACCTACGTGCAAACTGTTGGAAATCGGAAAGGTCGCAGGCATGATGAGGACTGTCATGTCGCGGGAGATAGAAAACAGATTATCTACCTCACAACCTTGCGATCGACCACAATACGTGCTGGTTGGGGATAGAAAACGGGAGGTAAAGGGGGAAGTAAGAAGCATTTGCAAGGAAAAAGTAAAAGAAGGGCTTGAAAAACTGACCAATGATCGAAGATTCTATGAAAAGATACGGCGACGTACGTAAGGTACCCAGAGGGTTGAGCTAGTGATGGATACCCAGTGTATACTGAATTTATGGAGAGATTAATGTTAGCCTTGAAATCCGACGCAGAAAGGGTATTCAGTTTTCTATTATCAGCATCACCGGAGCACTTAAAACAACACTGTCTACAGCAGAACATAATAACGAAAATACCAGTTTCATTCAAAAAAGTAAAGCAAAGGTAAAAAGTAATCTAGTGAGAAGACCAGACTTCAAGCTGCTGATCGGTCTGTTGAAGAGACATTGCCTTTTGCGTCACATGCTTTGAATTAAGGTCTGATTGACGACAACAAATGTAGGAATTGTATGTAAAAGGACACAACCACTACTTTAATTAGCAAAAAGCACAACAAAATGGTCTTCACACTAATGTGTCGGGCAACATTATGAGCATAATATTGTCTATGTCAACTTTAACCGCAAGTATGTAAAGCGAAATCAGAGTAAATTAGGTCCTATCATGCAGATATGTAGTCTTATAAAATAAATCACAGGTTGTCTAATAGAAAGTTCAATTTCAAAAAATACGATAAAACTGAAAAGCTTGTGGATCCCACATATTTGTTGTATTAGATTTAAAAAATTCTTACGAAACCCTTTTTAAGACTTTGTTTTCATAATCAAAATAGGTTCATATTCCCAAATTCTTCTTAGTTTTCGCTACAAGACTGAATGTACATACGCATTAAAAAAAAAAAGAAGTGTAACCCAGTAAGCAGATTAGTTGAGAGCTAATATAAATTCAAAAGTTGTTTTCCAAGTTTGCAGAGATTAGGACCAGAAATTTTCCGGAAATTGTCGTCTAAACTACACGCACTAAATATCTTTCAGTACTTTTCATTGGTAAGTTGGTAGTACTGCTCTTAATTACTTGAGCCAGAAATGAGCACGATCTGTTACCCTGTTTGTTTGCAGCAGCTGTTGAAATCAGTTAACTTCAGTTTCCACAGCGAATATTCTTATACGACCTCAATCGAGTCGAAACGGATTCCACAGAATAGTAACTTGAGTTTCGGAAGCAAAAAAGTCGCATGGGACCGAATTTGGTGAATGCAATGGTTGATCGATGGTATTGAACGAGTTTATGATCTTGAAAGTTTACGGAAATTTGTTGGCCCACATTTCCGGCCGCATACGATGCATGTTTTCAGGAAAACACCACAAAACGTTGAAATAATACTTTTTATTGACCGTCTGTCCCATTGGAATGAATTCATGATGAACCAAAACTGCGAATATCGAAAAAAAAACTATTTCCGGAAACTTAACTTAACTATTTAATGAAAGAGGAAAGAGGATGTAACAAGCTGTTAGCAACTATATTCTTGAAAATGTTTAAAAAATTCGCGTTAGAAAAGTTTAAATAGATAAGTATTGCAGAGAGATGGGAAATTAATACTAAACAAATGAAGTTGTTGAATACCAAATATTAACTTTAACTTTCTGTTGTATTAAATTTATTCAATACACAAACTGTCGTTTTAAGTATGAAAATCTCAATATTTACATTCACCACCCTGAATTTTCTCGGATATTATTTTTCTCTCCGCTCTTTGAAGACATTACTTTTATATTTGATAGCCATAAAATTGCTTTTGTAAATCAAATATCGTGGTGGAGATATTATTATAATCACTTTTAATCACATAAAATAGTCGTTGCAAATAATTAGCTTACGCTACATTTCGGCAAGATTTTCTTAGATCTGCTATCAATCATGTCAAGTGCACAATAAATATTTCTTAAAATACACAGGGTGTCCTAAAATTAGCGCAAAGTTTAAACTTGCCGCCAATTATGTGGTACAGTTTGGGTTTTAAAAAAATTGAACCTTCCTTATTCAAGAATATTTCAAAAAAATTGAAAGCATGGCGGACGCAGCGTTTCATTTTCCTCAGCCGTGGAAATATGAATTGAAAAATTCCGATAGACAGGATCCGCTGGAAAGACAACAACAATTATAATATTGAAGCAGTACGTGAGTGTCAGTGACAATCCAATAACATCATCTAGGCTTCGTTGATAAGAATTGCAAATTTCAATAAGCTCAATACAGCGTATGTATGTTCACTAAATATCTGTATATGCGTGCTTACAAAATTCAATAAACAACAACAGCTGCAGCCTAAATACCGTGCACAGCGATAAGAGTTTCTAAAGTAGATTATTGAACAGCAACAAATGGATGCGGATTTCTCGAGCAAAATCATCGTAAGCGATGGGTTTGTTAATGGCCAAAATTTCTACTTTTTAAGTTCTGAGAAACCACATGTGATTGTCGAAAAACAAATGCATCCACAACGAGTCACTGTTTGGTCTTAAGATTTTACAAGAGGTTTAACTGGACCATACCTATTTGAAAATGCGGCTGGTTAGGCAGTGACTGCTACTGGTGTTCGGTATCGCGACATGATCACCCAATTCTTGTTGGCGAAAATCGGTGATATGATGATTGTCCTACAGCCAGTAAAACACTTCAATTACTGCAGGAGCTATTTCCAAGTTGTGTACTCTCTTGCTTAGGTGATCAGAAGTGGTATCCTAGATCGTGTGATTTAGCACTATTAAATTTTTTATAAAGGGTTATTTAAAATCACTTCTATGAAATTAATCCACATTTATGAAAAATAGTCATTGAAAATATCGGCAGACGAGCGCATATGTGTGTGGAGAGACAGAGAGGTCATGCACCATATGTGTTATTCTATAAATAATTCTATCCAAAGAGTATCTACTATTTTATACTAGCCTTGCAAACCTATTAAATGACTTTTTGAAGCATTGAAATGCATAAGAGGACTTTCAAAATGTATTGGGAAAACTCAATGAAAGTCTCTCATAAGCATACATAAATAAAAGCAGCTGAATTCCATTGATGATGTTAAAAAAAAATTAGTTTTCAGGGTCAAAATTTAAATTATTGTTGTTTAAGTGCTTGCCATTTTCGAAAGCTTTTCATGATTTTCAAGCAGTTTCACGGCGATCGGTCAATTGGTTATTGGAAAATATTTATTTATACCTGAATACTTACGTCGTGCTTTTCTTAAAGTGAGATGCCACTTAAAAATTTTATATACATACATATACATACTTGTATGTGTGCACATAATGTATGCATAAATACTCACTCATGAATATATGTATGCGCAAA